TCTCTAACGGTGTAGAAGAGAGGAAGATTGAATTTAAAAGGAATCACATGGTTGTGAGGACAAGGAGGGGAAAAGGAAGCAGGAAGAGTGGCATGCAGGCATTTGAAGTCACTCTCTTTGGCTGAACAATAGGCTTGCTGTAAACATCTCTTTTTAGTTAGCTGACATTGATTGTAACCAATGCCACAGCATACTCCACAAAGAAACTTGCACTGTCATGCCTGGAGCAGAGCAGCCAAGGGAATCGATAGCAAGGATCTGACAACACCCGGAGCCCTGAGAAATTTCTGGAGTCAGATCAAGGAGGGGAGCCCCCTGGGGACTTACCTAAGAGCTTTCTGAACCACTTTGGTTTCTTGTCCCATACAATAAAGAGGTAGTAGGCAGGAACTCCAGTCAGGGTTATTGCGAATCCAATCCCTGTATTGACTGGATCGGAGTAAAGTGACAGTGCAACCATGAAGAGGCAGGTGAAGGAAAACAACGCTGGAATAAATAGAGGCACCTGGAATACAACCACACAAAGAATCATTACTTGGCATTGACCTTGCTGTTGAATGATAATGGTATTTAATGTTCCATGAAATGTAAACCAGATAAAACTCAGCAGTACAGGATAGTCCTGGAGAAATGCAGGTCTCTAGAAGAGGCACACAAAATGCCAGTGACTGCAGGAACCAAGCTAAGCCAAGTGCTACGCAGTAAGCACCACAGACGTCTTTTAATTACACACTAAAACACTAGAGTGTTTTATGCCCTTTAAAATGTAAGGGCTGTAAATATGTTACATTACAAAGTTCCTTTCTCTAATCCTCCAGTAGATAAGTAAGCAGCACTAACTGCAGTAAAGATTTCCTCTTTGATAATTACCTATTAGAAAACATTTTAAAACACAACACGGAGCTCAAGCCACCTTTTAAAACTATTAAGAAGATATTGATTTTCTTCCTAAGGTAAAAATCAAAATCTGGCAGGAAGAGAGCAAATTAAACACCCATTTGACAACTGATAAAGATATTTGATACCATTATGCAACTGATAGCTTCTGGAAAAGCACTTTTCTGACAATATGTCACTGTTGAAAGGATAAAAAAAAAATAGCAATATCAAATTAATTCTCTCAATTTTAAGGAATGCCACCACAATCACTGTTACCACCTCCCTGTGCCAGAGTTCGTAAAACGTTTGGTGTAATGGAGAATTGGAGAATTCCCTGGAGACTATTTTCTTCCTTTCATGCCTTGAAACATTACTGTTCCTCTTTTCTGCACTGTCAAAGCATTTTTTTAATCAAAGCAAAATGGGCTGTGCTGTTGACCTTCTTATTTGCTGTTATGCCCGCAAGAACACAACTGCACATTCTGAGTTCTTCATAAAATAGATTTCTTAGGAATACATAAATAGGGCTAGAATCCTCCACATTTTTCATCATGTTACCTTTCCATACACATAATGGGAAAACTGACTCACTAAGATGTTACACGAAGCAAGATCAGCAACAGAACCAAGTTCAAAGTAAGTATAGTTCAGCAGGCCAAACTATTGTTATTTTCTTCGGGCTTCACAGTAACAGTGCCTGCAAACCGCTCATGAGTTCCAAATATCACAATACTATCGCTACTAACTTATTTGCACATCATATTTGGTATAATTTATATTGAACAGACGATGAAATATATATTGAAATTTAATGCTCATACCTGGCATGAACTTCGGTGGAAAAATTATTCAAATAATATAGAAAAATATAGAATTAATTGAGGACTAGATTACTAGCCCCAGTATTTGGAATTTGAAGCTTATGAAACTACACCAGACTGGAGGTATTTTCACACAACTTGGCAGAGCATAAATACCTTAGCTTGCCTCACACTGCCTCAACACGACAGGCAAAACTGAGCAAACACCTTGCCTTTTGCACAGCAAGCTCAATTGCTCCCCTACAGCCACCAGGGAATTAATAAAAATTGTCTTTCAGAAGAGAGCTCAGCCAGGATAGCACTGGAGAACTTGAAGGAAAACACGAGGAGACTCTTCAATGTAAAAGACTATTAACTCCTGTTTTTTCTCAAAATAGGCTAACTTTTTACATCAGCAAACCCTGCTTTGCTATCTGACTAGACAATAGATACAAGGGAGAAAAATTCATGTAGAACAGCATAGAGTGAAGGTTACCTTGAAAGGACGAGGCATATCAGGACGTTTATATCTGAGATAAATCAAGCCAGCAACTACCAGTCCAATAAAAAGCCACCTGGCAAAACTGAGGAAATTCAGGAGGCTGTAGAGATCCCCACTGAATAACATTATCATTGTGAGAGGGTGCTGCAAAAGAAATTAAGAGGCTTTTAATGATTTGATTTCTGTTATTTTATAGCAGCGATGCCAAATCCATCGCCATGGAGAGAAGCAACAGTCTTATCCAGAGATACACGAGGGCCCCAGCCTTCGAGCCTGCCAGCTCATGCAACCAGATGTGTGATAAGTGTCTACCAGTCCCCTGGGATCATATTTAGTCAGAATTGTCTATCCTGGCTGACCGCATGTGAGCCATACACACCCAGACAAATACACAGGCACCACAACACACGTGCATCCTGTGCTTTGTTCTCACAGGACATGCCCACCACTCCTCTGCTCGCTCATGACAAAGGAACCATGTTAGAGGTTGGCTATACATCATGGGATGCTGGCTGGGCACACCAGGTTGACAACAGCTTGTATTAGCAGCATGCCCTGTATGCTTGAGGGGTGTAGACCTACTGCACATTGGAAATGCAAACATTTCTAAGCAGAGATAAGCAATTAGCTATCATTCAAGAGGTTGCTGAACAGCAAAAAGGGAAAAAAGGGAAAACAACAGTAAAATAAATACATTTCTTCATTAAATAGGTCTTTTGAGTTATGTCTGTGAGACGGCTGAAAGCTTATGCACAAACCAGAGTGTTGTACCTGGGGTTGGATGATTAGTGTAGGCTACATGGATCTGCTTCAGCATTATCTCTGGACAAAAGCAGAATATCTGTAGCTTGGACCAACTATAAAGGGTAGTCCACACTTTCCACATGAGATACTCTATACCTGCAATGACACAGCCCTTGCATTTGGGGATGAAGACACCCACAAATATCACTACTGTGCAATTCTTCAGAAAAAGAGAATGTCCTAGTGGTTACAGTCCCTCTAGGTTTATGACAAGACAACAGGTGAAATGCAGCTCCCTAAAGATTTAACTGGGCTAAATCTTTGTATAAAGAACATTTGCATTAGAGATCTAGAGTCACAGCCTCTCTTTATGTTTTTTTTTTTCAAGCAGTGAGGACTGTGTGGATTTGAATCACAAGGATCAATACTTCAAATATGGATATCTGGCTTCCAAACTCTAATGACTTACAAAGCACTTGGTTCTTTACTCATGGATATTAAGCAAACTTCTCTGCAAAGGTCAAAGGAAATTTTTCCACTGAATTATACTAGGCCAGCATTCTTCTATATAGACTCAGTCCCTAGAAGAAATCTCAGTTATGGGAGGGATATTGCAACAAAGGGCCACAGTCAGTGAAAGAGAGCTAAGAGAAACAAAACTATACTGAATGGTTTCTTGGAATTGTTACATACACATCCATCAAATATCAGCAGATATGAAATACACAGATTTCTTAATTTCTAAATGTTTGGCTTTTGTTTTCTTTTTCAGGCCTCAAACACTGAACGTGCTCATTTTCTCAGTTTCTCCTCAAGATCCATTCCCTTTTGTATAGCATGTAGAGCTTGAAAGGAGAAATAAAAGAAGAAAATGCTAAAATGCAGACTACTGATGCAGAATATAACCTGCAACTACTCTGCTTGCACTGAGGCAAGAAAAACATAATCCTTGAATGAAAACCATCTTCATATGAATCTGACTTTTTTAAAGGAGATCAATGCACTAGTAATGGGACCAGATGCAACAGAAGAAAACATTTTTCAGGGTAAAAAACATAAATCTATCAATATGAATATTTTAGTTTATTTAGGGCATTTCATTCCACAGAAAAAGTCAATGCAATTTACCTGATGATTATGAATATTTCAGCCCAAAGAAATAAAATGCAAAGTGAACATTTAATTAAAATGAATTCCCTTAAAACTCTTCACCATAATTATTCTGTCTAGTTTTGCAAACTTGGATGCCTACAGCTGCATGGGCATATATAAGACTCAGTACTTCAGCTGGCACTTCAAAAGTGAGCTCATAGGCATGTCTAGCAAAAAACTGATTTAAATTCCAGTACTAGCAACTGATCTTGCTTGTGTAGACTTATACATACACACACCTCCTGCTGTAGTTAGAACTCCCCCAGATGCAGAGGTCTGTCCAAACACATTACAGTCATGGGTCCAAGAAGAGTGGCTGAACACCCACAGCTATGAAAAAGTCTGCAAGTTAAGTGGAAATCTACTTGGCACTATGCAAATTGGTGTGAAGTTTGTATTTTGACATTTTGTCCTAACATTTTACTACACAAATTAGCCCGCAATGCAAACACATGGCCAACATTTAGCTCTGCCTCTATGCTAGAATGCAGTAATAGGATTTCCACTATAATACTGGTGCTTCTCCTCAGACGATTCACAGACTATTGCCCAGGCACACATACTCTCATTTTTTAATCACCACTACACCACACTGCTGAGGGCTCGCTTTCCATTATCGTAGTGCATAATTGTTTGCATTTTTCACTGTAAGGTGGTATAATGAGCTTTTAGGGTGCCCCCAGACACCAGTGTTTAGCTGCACTTTCAGTTAAATGAAGACCTTTTTTTGTTTGTTTGTTTAAGAAGAATTTGTCTCTCTGAAAGGGAGCTAGCTCATCTCTAGCACATCCTTAGAAAAAAAAGGGCAATAAGACATGAATTTGGTTCCAGCAATAGGCAGTCAGGCACTACCAACAAGATAGCAAGATAAGACAAGAACAACTCCCAGATCTCATTCTTCTCTTTACTGTCCTCTGCCCTGCCCAAAGCCCGCATATACATCAATAAATGAGATTCAAGCAGTGCCCAAATTCTGTTTGAATCCTCCAGAGCAAGCCCGTAATATGAATTCTTGTGCAGGAACATTTGTTTGTATGATTTACCAAAACAATGACAGCTGGCAGAGGAGTGTGCTTGCGGACATGAATCATGGAGAGAATTTCCGGAAGGTGACCCTCACGGGAGGCAACGAAGAACATCCTGGTGGGAAATAAATGTGGACAGACTTTAAATGTGCTCATTACTGTGACAAGGCAAAGCAGCTCATGAAAGTCACACAACACAGCAGCACTTCTTAGGCTCATTTGAGGTGCTCATAATGAAAAGAGTAGCAAGAGAGGCCCGTAAGCAGAAATCAAAGTAATCTCTGTTTGTGTCCCCCCCGTTATCTTATACTATGATCAGTGCTTAGAAGTAGTTAATGTTTTCCCTCCAATTTACCTCCTTCACATGAAACAAAACAGCCATTAATGAAGTGCTACACTCAAAGGGATCCGTTTCCAAACTGTTCAAAGGGTTTTAGCAATGATACTAAACTCAACAGGAGAAAAGTGAGGGCAGAAAAAACACACTTTATAAACTTTTCAGTCATTTTCAATCTCCTACTAGAGGAATAAAGCCTTTTCTTCCTTCTACTTGCTTCCTTATTTTCAATATATATCCTATGCCTTTCACTTGCAGTAATATTAACATATACTTACCTGGAGACTGCAAAAATGCCACCATTCATAGATCCAAAGCAGGAGAGAGCAACAAACACTGGTACAGCTAAAGAAAAGCTTCCCATTAATCGTTCAGCAAAGGTCTGTTGGAGGAGAGAAAAACGTACCATGACTTTTCCCTCAGAAAACATGAAAGCAATTTTACTTTATTAACAAATTATTAATAAGCATTTTCATTTTATTTACAGCCCTCTTTGCTTCCCTCACTGAAACTTGTGCTGTGCATTTGTGACTCCTCCCTCTCCAACACAAGTCTGCTGCAGATGAGGTCTTCCACTCTTACTTCTGACTGTCCATGGTAGGCCTCCAGCTGAGGCAGAGCTGTCGAGGTGGATTGCCTCCAAAAAGAAGATTCACTCTGAACAGATCAGCTTCTGATCTGCATAGCTGGTATTTCTTTCCACAGCCTTTATTTTCTTTAGCTGATGCTACTCAACACTGCATTCCACCTAGTCACACTTTGTTGTTCAAGGTCACTGAAAGAGCCTTACTTGGTGTTTGGAGCACCACAGGAGACCTGCACAATTTTCTAGAGATCTGCAAAATGTTTGTTGTTTTTTTTTTTTTTTTCTGAATCTCCCAGGAGCTACTGAATTGGCCATTTTTTAAATGACACATCAATTGAAAAAGTCACAGGCTGTGTCACTACTGCAAAGTAAATGGAAATTTTTATTTCCTCATTGCAAGTCCGATATCAGATATAAAAATCAGTGTCATCACCACAATTCAGCAAGACCAATCACAGCAGTATTTCCAAGCCAGGTACCTTGCAGCTCCTTTCCAAATAAGCTCCAGTGTTCACAGCACCCCCCCCCCCTTACTAAGTACCCACAGTACATGATGTGCAGAGACAGCGTTACTGCTTCCTGCTACACTAAATAGGCTAGACCCCCCACTTTCTCAAGTATCTGTATTTTCTGCTTCCCAGGGGTTCAGCCCATGATTTACTAAAAAATTTTAGAGTTAAGTACATACTGGACAATTCAAGTCCTATTGACTTAGTTACATCAAGTAAATAGATATGGTCTAACGTTATTATTACATATGCTATGACCTTAAATGCAATCCCACTCAACAGACAAAAATCAAAGTTTGCCTGGTTGCTACTCTGTTGTGTAACAGAGGAACCATACAAAGCATGATTGGATATGTGTCCTACCCAACCTTTTTCCCCTTGGAAATAAGAATATATGGACAAACACAACTGCAGCAGAGATATAGCTTTGCATTTTTCTTCTGTAACTTACCACTGCTACAGCTTTTGAAAGCAGCAATTCCCCAGCACTGATTGTAGTGAAATAAGCCACGTTTGTTAACACATAGCCAACTGTGACGATAATCATTGAAATGCATATTGCGAGGGGTATGTTTCTGAAATACATAAGGTAGCTCATTATTTTGCAATCTGTTGCTATCTCCTGAACATGAAACAAAAAAAATCATAAGAAGCAGCCGCTAATGATGGTGAGTGCATTTTTGGTGATCCTGCAATACCATAATTAGAAACTACCAGTGAAAATAACACATCTAAACAAAACAATCTAGACAAAGTAAATAGTTTCATAACAAAGAGGTGGGACACCTTTGTGAGGGAGGAATCCTTTGGGGACCCCAAAAGGTCATGGTTCCATATCTCCCATACAAGACGCATGGCACATTTTTGTTTCAGACTGAGCCCAATAGTAAAGCAGCAAGTCTTAATGCTGGAACCAGCTATAGCATGGATGACATGGACAGAGTGACCCAGCACTTTGCCTGTCAGGAGGGCAATTGCAGTGCCATTTCCAACAGGTGCTCAAGGTGGGCATTGCTTTCCAAACCTGGCAACACACTTGGGGGTGGTTTCATACCTTCCCCTGCATGCCAAGACATCTAGCACATCTGTCCTCACCTCTCCATTTAGTTCTTCCCTTGCACCCCTCACACACATCTGTTCTCCCCATCATTTTTTCAGGGATACGTGAGAGTAGAGTGATGTACAGAAATAGGAACAGTGCAAATCTGTGCCATTCCACACTGTTGGTACTGATCAGTAGAAAACCTCTGACATTTCAGCAAAAAAAAAAACAACCAACCAGCCAGTAACACAAATAATAAATTCAAACTGGTACAGAGTACATCCTCCCATTCAGCAAAATAGAAAAGCAGAATTATTTCTGTTTTGAAGAAGAAAAATAGAGGCATGAGCAAGGTACACTGAATTGATCCAAAGCACACTGTAGGCACATGATCAGGTTAGGAGGACAAACTAGATGTTTCAAGCATACTCAAGTTTCTTTCCACTTAATGCCATCACTAGGCTGAGATGATATCTACATGAAACCAATAAGGGATTCAGATCAGAAACCAATGCCAGGTTTTTTGATTCCAAGGCCACGGGGTGCAGTTTGAAAGACCCAGTTCACGCAGTTCCCCAGAGCTGAGCTGAGAGCTGCTGCCTCACAGCTGGTTCTCTTTGGCTACCTATTCCAAGAGGTAGAAGAGGTGTTAGGGCTGGTACAACTAGCAAACTTTGCTGTGAAGGTCACCTGACCAGATAGAAGTAGGAAGAGAAAAAAGTGGGAATTGTGGTGTACCAGAAGAGACCACAAGTACAGTGCAAAAGGACTAGTGTATTCACCTAAAGGAGAAGGCAGTTGGAAAGCCAATACTAAGATGCATTATTTTCACATATTTTTTCCCTAAAGAAACACAGCAGGGTCAAAATAGAACGATCCTCTTCACTCCTAGTCCTTACTTCTCAGAGAAACCTTTGCCATTAGTATGCCTGAATAAAGCTGGAAAAGAAGCTCTAAACTGAATATATAAATAAAGCGGGGTAGCATCATAGTTGCACATCATGCCTACCTTAGCAATCATTGTGCAAACCCCCTGTAGCTAACCCAGATACACAAGATCATGCTGTACTGCAGTATCAAATCTGGGCAGACATGATATCAGTGCCATCTCAGGCCCATGCTCTCAGGTAAAGAAGTTGGAAGGAATCAGTTTATAACATATGCTTATTAATGATGGAGTAGGCCATGGCAAAAACAGAATACAAGGGCTATAGCAAGCAGGCAGACCAGAATAGAAGTGCTTTATTGCCAAAAAAAACACCGAGTTACCAACTCAAGAAGTAATGCAGAACTGTGTGTTCATAACACAGCTGTGCAAAGTTTTTATAGCTCAGTTGCCAGATATTCTGCAGCCAGCTTGGTTATGTTTCTAACTCCATCATAGTATAAATTAAATCTGCTTAGTACCTGATTCAAGATAGGAATACATGGTTTGAAGCCCTCTCAAAAAAGACATTTTAGTGATATCTTTTGAACCACAGACAAATGCTTCAACCATGGTGCTGTTGAATAAGTCAGCACTCACTCCAGCTTTAGAAAGTGCTTCTAACCAAAACCAGCAAACTTGCACTATTTTCACAAATACCGTTTGAATTACTGAAGCTCACTGTGTCAAAATGAAAAAACTATCTTTGTCCATTCCAGCCATTCCCAAAATCTAATTGCCATACTTTCTTCTGTCTTAAATCCCAGCCTTATTTCCTCTAAAATAAAATGGCAGTTCAAAACTAAATGCAAAAAAGCCACTTGCTGCCAAATGTGAACATTCCCAGCACAGTCCTGCCTCCCAATGCTGAGGAGCACTACCACATGCTGATAGTAACCACAGCAACAAAAAAATCCACAATTAAAAAAGAGGACAAAGTAAAGCAAAATAACAAAACAAGCCTGAAGTAGTCAGCTCATTAAGAAGCTCAGAGATCCCAGCTCACACCTGGAGCAGCACAAGGAGTGTTGCAGCTTGCAAGTTTCTGAGCAAAGCACGCTCAGGTTGTGGCTCCATTTGCCCCTCAGCAGGAGTGCCTCTGGGAGGGATGCAGCACATTTGCACACAGCTGGCCTGGGGCTGTTTGGCAGCTGCCCCCCATGAAAGATTTCAGGAAAATTAAAGGCCATGTGCAGGATTTTAGGGGTGAGGCATATAGCATGGCTTGCTTCTCACTGACACTTCAGATTTATACTTGGTTCTTGATTCATCTGAAGACACAGAGAGAAGTGCAAACCCTCTGCAGTGCTGCCAAGTGAGAACTTTGATATCCTTTTCCTATCCTTCCTATTCAAGAGTCAGTTCCTAATCTGCAGCAGGGTATCATCAAATTCACTGCTATCAACTACAGGCACTACACTGGGGTAAAAACTGTAATGCCATTAGAAAATCACTTTATCAGTTTTCTAGTATTTTTTCTGCTCTCCTAGGCATTCTTCCCAAATCAGGAAAAACAAGACCCAAGTCTATTCTCCATTAAATTATCTCTAACAACACAGATTTCACCTTTTCAGTTCTTTGTCCTATGAACCAAATGCAACACAAGGTGTTAGCAAGCCAGTAAGTCACGTTTCTGATACATTGTGAATTCATAACTGCCATATGGCTAGACAACAGTTTTGGAGTAAAGCAAGTCAGAAAATTCAAGGAAGAAAGTATTTCTCACTTTTGAATGAAGTTTTTCATTCATTGAAGCTAAAACTTTTGACAGGAAACCTAAACATTTCAGTATGACATTTCTTTGGAAAAAAAATCTTAGAGCCAAGACAAATTCTTGTCCAACCCAGACAGACCTCAGGATGGCCTATGGCTTAAAAACCACAGTATTATGCTCAGACATGGAAGACTGACGTATTTGTTTTGTATAAAGCTGACCCAGGACTTGAACTTGCACTGAAGTTGTCACTGGTTACTTCAGGGCAGCATTTTCCTTTTGCATTTCATCTCAGAGTAAAATCTCAATGCATTTCAAAATCAAGAGAAATCATTCTCAAAGTAGCTGTTTTTCTGAGTAGAACTCTTAGTGTGGATGCCTTGGAACAGGACTGTGCATTACCACCAAGATAGCATTCAGGTAGGCTGCTTCTCTGATACTTCAAAGAAAATCAGTATCAAAAGGAAGGAATTCTGGGGAGACCTGAGCTAGGAAAATATTGACAATATCGCTAATAGTATTTTTTCAAATCAGATGAGATTTGGACAGCGATGGAAGTTTTTAAATGGTAATTAAAACTGAATTGAATCTCTACGCATTTTCAGATTCACCACCCTTAGCTACTGTTCAAAGCAAATCTTCCCTTCCTACCCTGTATACAAAGTAATTGTGATGAAGGATCATGATAGCTTAAGCACAGGTCACATTTATCTTTTGCTCTCCAGAACAAAAGTCACAGAGGTGTCCACCACCACAAAGAAATCTAGCATTAGCAATAACAGCCAGTCCCACCTGTGACTGTGTGGGGCTGAAATGCATTGCTGTGTACTGCTGAGCTCTGCTCTATGGCCTGGAAATAAATTCTATCCTTCTCAAGTCTGAAAGGGTCCCAGAGCCGGGGCACAGGTTCAGTCAATCAGGATATCCACTGCGGTTTGGGTTTGACCCCAGGTGTTGCAGAACCATAGATCTTCTGATAATCTGCTCTGACACCGCACCACCTCACACACATATTTTCGAGTGAAATGCACAGAGAAGATTGAGTAAGAAGGAAAAAAAAAAAAAAGAAAGAAAGAAAAGAAAAGGTGCGGGGGAAAAAAAAAAAAAAAGAAATCGAAAGTGAGAACCTGGGGATAAGAAGAACAATGTCAATAAATCAGCTAAGGAACATTCCCAGAAGTTTACAGCTCATAGCTCAACTTAATGACAAATTTTATAACAACAAACAGTAAGTGCTAAGAGCTGTGACCACTGCAGACTGATCTTTCTATGAAACGACAAGCACACCGCCAAAATATGCCCCACAGATTCAGCTGAGGTCACAAGTACCAAATACATTGTCACCACATCCTGTGCTGTTTAGAGGCCATGACAAAATCATTCCCCTGCATGCACTTTAAATCTGAGTTTTACAAATGCTTGGTTTGAAGCGGCTGCCCTAGAAAAACAAAACTGCATTGATGGGACCCTGTCAAGAAACATAAGTAAGAGGGTCTAGACAAATGAAATAATTGCTGGTAAAGTTAGATTTGATCAATCACATCTTTACTGCATTGTGATAATTGTGAATTTTTGTTGTATTTAAATTTAAAAGAAGAAGAGTGGAGAAGTGCTAATTCTTTCTCATGGATTCCAAGAGAGGATTTGATTTTCACGAGCATGATCCTATATACTCCGCATTTCTTTAGTCAGAAATTTACAACCACGGGAATTTCAAGATCCTTCTCAAAAGTTCCCTTGTGCAATAATTTATTCACCATTTGCAATCTGTTAAGCAATTTTCCAAATGAACTGCTTCCAGATTTTGGCACTCCTAAAATCTAATCATCCATCGCACAGTCCATAGGGCCAAAGCTTGGCGGAATAAGTCACAAGTACATCTCGATACTGGAAAAAAAAATAACCGCATATGGTACAGAAGGCAGCAAAGAGAACCCTGGTAATGTAATGTTCCCAGGACTTCACTGCAAGAGAAGCAAGCATACAAACTTAGTAAATACTGTGTACCAGCACTAACCTGCATCTCCAAGCATTCCCAGGTGACTGTGAACAATGGCAACCCTGAATCCTGGGCAATGCAGCAGTAGGATCTGGCACACGCTTACTTGCCTTTTCATGTTAAAAGCAGTGCCTACAAGACATCCCATCACACTGAAGGGATCAAATGGTTCTCAACACGTTGTGTGAGGAAAATTACAACCTTACACCCATCAGTTACAAGAAATTGAGTAAAAGGAAGATGCAGAACATAAATAGAGGCCACCTCCCAGGACAGAATCAAAGGCAAGAATACAGAGGCAGAAAGTATGGGATCATCACAGCACATCTTGAGTCCATGTAAAAGCTTACATGGTTCTCAGCAATGACTGGTTTTAGAAACTAACTTTTATTATTTTTTATGCTTGGTTTATTGCACCAAGCATTCTCCTCATCAAATCCTGCATCTCTCCCTTCACTGCTCCCTAGCCTTATGTTCCAGACTGGAACTGCTGTCAGTGGGCTTGCAGTGCAGCCACTATTAAATTATGTGGCTTCTCTTTATCTTCTTTTGATTGCAATTTTCCAGGGGAGAAATGAAAAAGGAGAGACTGGCTATTAGCAGCACTCTCTTTTCTGTTGCTGGGGTGCCAGCCGAAGGGCTTCCATCTCCGTTCTGATGCCCTGGTTCTGTACCTCTGACATCTGCAGAGATGCAGCAGCACGACATCGGGATAATAGAGTGAAGAATCAAGTCTCCATTTAAAGCCCATCTCACTTTCCATCACCTTGCAAGAGAAGAAAAGGGTTACTGCTGTGTCTAATTACTTGCTTTCTTCCTGGTGTTTGACTTCACAGGTTTGGATTATAATTGGTTACAGTTCATAAAAGGGGGCTTCTATGGCCAACTGACTTTGAGGGGTCAAACTGTGATGTAAGTATGCAGGGAAGGGCAGGGGATTTTATTAACTTCTCAGATGTTTTCAGTAGCCCTTCCAGCAGGGATTCCTAAAATGGGAATTAGCATAAATACTCTCTTGACTAAAACTTAAGACCTAGAAAAGTACCAACTGCACAGAAGAGCACTGTTCTCCATAACATCTTATTCCAGCCAACATGGTGACAGCCCTGGAGAGCCTAAGGCTAATTGTTACACTAGCAGTGTGCTCTGTCCTCTTTTAACAGAGATTTGAACTTGGCTGCAGTCATATCACACACTCACTCAGGCTATGGTGAGCCAAATCTCACCAGAGTGCAGAAATTGTTTACATTCAGGCCCAAGTCCTAACTTGCTAAACCAATGTCTTTTACAAAATTACTTCCTTTGAAGAGCAGAATTGATTCATCTGAAACTTGGACTGCTAGCTAAGGAGACATTGGACATTCAAGCAGGATCCTGAGTCAT